TTTGGTTCTCTTTTAGATTCACAATTCCAATTAAAAAATTTCAAATCTTTTCAAAACTCATAACTAAATATACAACTCAAAACTACTCAAAAAACCCAATTCAAAATTATTTTCAAAAACTCATAACCAAACACACAACTCAAAACTTAATTTAAAACTCTTTTCAAATTCAAAACCAAACTTTTTTCAAAACTCTATTTTAAAAGAAAAAAATTTAAAAAAAATATTTTTATATTTTATTTTTTAATTATTTTAGAAATTGTGATTTAAGTGTGGAGTCGTATTTTGAGTTATGAGTTTTGAATTGAGAAAATTGTTTGGTTATAAATTTTGAAAAGAAGTTTTGAGTTGTATTATGAATTTTTTTTGGATTTTTTTTGGGTAATATTTTTATATTTTAAATATTTATTTTTATTTTATTTATGTGCATTATTTTTCATACATTTATGTGCTGTATTTTTTAAAATATTTTAATATATTTTTTAAATATTAAAAATTTAAAATTTTATTTTTTTTATTTTAAATATCATATTTTATTTTAATAGAAACAAATATTTTTAAATATTTTAATTTTTTTGTTATGTGTTTGGTTACGATTTAAGTGTAGAGTTTTGAAAGTAGTGTGGAGTTTCGAGTTATGTGTTTAGTTTTTTAGGTTTGAAAATAATTTTTAAATTGAGTTTTGAGTTATGCATTGATTTACGATTTGAGTGTGGAGTTGAGTTTTGAGTTTAAAATATTCAAATTAAAAAAATAAAATATTTACAAAATAAACTAAAATATTGAAAATAAAAATATTTAATTAAAAATTATATATTTAAAATAAAAAATAAAATTTTCTTAAACATTTTTTAATATTTTAAAAAAATAAATCTAAAAAAAGCAAGGGTAATAAGAGTAATAAATCCTAAAAAACAATTCATAATTTAATTACTGTATAACATAAATAGATGAGATAAGGGTATTATCATCTTTTTGTGCTCAAAAGGAAAGGTAATAAGGTCATTTACTATAAGCAAGTAACATTGTTTGTTCCAATTTTACGGAATGGAAGAATCTGAACAATGTCAGTTAAAGTAAGGAAGATTTATGTTATTATTCAAATCATAGATGTAACGCCCTCAAAATTAATCCATTATATATATATCATTGACGTGCATTATTTAAAGAAAACAATTTATTAATTCATTCATCAGAGTATTACTAAATAAAAGTATTACATGTAACATCGAATAAAATGCCCTACAGGCTTACATCTTTCCAAGCCAACACTTGGATACAAAAATATGAGTTCTAACTCAATACAAAAAAAGCCCTAGGCTTGAATGTTTACATGTACTAATAAATAAAGACAATTAACTAAAGCTAGTCTTCTTCAAAATCCAGAAACCAAACCCTCCCAAACTAAGTCCTTGGAGGTAGCTTATCACCTGAACCTGAAAATGATGTTCCCAT